GTGAAGTCAGAAGAATGTTTCAACTCTGTACTGGAAGTGTTTAGCAACTACAACAGGATTAAGATTGAGCATTTGACACTTCTCACTGTAAGACAGTGAATCAACTTGTTCATCAGTTGGATCATTGACTTGTATTCTTGCTAATACTTGAAAAAGCTCAGGCCATCTTAAATCAGCTCAAGACAATGTCATAAACCATGTTGGGATGCCAAGTTGTTTAACCATTGCAATTACTTCATACATGAATTTTTCTCAGTGTGGTGGTGTTCCTGGTATTTGCAGCAGAAATAAATATGCTTGATCTTGGACAATAAGATTCATTAATCTCTGAGGATTGGCTCTTAATTGAGAAGCAGTGGCAAATTGTCCATAAACCTGCTTTAGAGCAATATTTATACTATCTAATACTTTCTTTTGTTCAATTATGAATTGTGCAAAAAATAGGTCTTCAGGGTTTCTGGCAAACCTTCCACTGCAATATAAAAGTCTAGCATTAAAGTATTTCACTGGTAAAATTGTAACTTGTCGTTCTGCTGTGTACCCATACCTGCCTTTAGGACACAATACTGGAAATGCTAGTTCTTCACGTTGTTTGTCAAGAATAAATGAGACAGGATGTTTTTTTTCTCCTGGTGCTATACTGTAGACTTCATTTCCTGTTGACTGCTCACTATCTGTAATAACTGGATAGTTTGGTATAATTGACCCTAAGCATGTGTCACATACTGGGGCTCTATATTCATTTAAGGGGTCATCATTTTCTTCTTCGTTACTCTAATTTAATTTATAATTTTCTCTTACATCATACTCCAATGCAGGATCACTATCTGTTGTTACATTGTTTGATGTAGCTTGTTGATTTGTATCATTATCATCTGCATCATTTTGTAAAGCTGTGATGTTGCTATCAATGTTGTTAATTACAATTACTATTATCTTTGTACAATGGATTATGTACTTTGGGTCAGTGAAGACCTTGCTGTATTAACTCTGGTCATACTGCTTGAAAATAAACATGTCCTTTAAATTGTAACTTTCTTTTTAGCTTTATGATTATTATACCAGATCTGTCTGGTGGACAACGGAGTTGATTACATGTCTAATCACATTCTACAGGTACATTGCATATTGCACCTTAAATTTTTCTCTGTTGTCCTTTAGGCATGACCACAATCTTCTCAAATACTATGCGTTGAGCTATTAGTATTTCTTGTAGTTTTTCTAGTCAGGATAGTTCTGTGGGTATTTCATCCACATACATATTGTTCACTACAGCCTGACATGGGAATTTTCCTTTTATAACCTTTGAATGACATGTGTTGCTTATATACTGTTTTCCATCAAATGACTGTTGAATATTGAAATATATTTTGCAAGAGTACTTCTTGTTTATTCATGTTATCACTGATTTCCTATAACTGAAGTATTCGATTACAGGCAGTATATATAAAATAAGGGCCTTCTCTTAAACTGGTTAATACACAATTCAACTGATCTGGCTTTCATTAATTTCTCATTGTGTTGCAGGGAAAGTAATTATTTCTTTTATATAACATCCAGAGTTGAATATTTTCTTTTAATTTCCTCTAAACTCCTTTTTTTGGCAACAGGTTCCATGCTGTCATACATGTGTTTTTGCCTGTGTTTTCTCATGATGCATTTCCTTTCAATTTCAGTAATTTTATATGAACAGCAAATAAATTGTATATCATATTCCAAAGTCTGACATTCTTGTTTATTTTGAATGATATTATTAATTTCCTCTACTAGATTATTCACACCACGAATGTGTTTTGTCTGTTTCATTGCAGATGAATGACTGTCTTCATATGTTAGAAGAGAAAATAATTGCTTTCCTTTTGTATTTTGTTGATAAATACAAGCTATACAGTAACTTGAAATCCACATTAAAATGCCTGTTTTCCCAGTGTGGTTCCGTAACATCAAGGTCTCTAAAGATATCTTGCTTTCAATTAAATTACTTAATTCTCCTTGATTTACGCAAGGAACGCCTGGGACCATGACCCCCTTTTGGCGACTAAAACGGCTTGCAATTTCAGACTCGGTCGTCCCTACGGAAGCCCGAGTAACTAGGCTATTATGTTCTAATACCCTACACGTTATTTCTGAAAAGCTGTTGCCCCGAGCGTTATTTATGACAGAACAATCATGAATTATATCGTGCATTCCTATTTCATAACCGCGTCATTTTGTCATTGTGGTTAGCTCTTTCCAAATCATTTTGAGTCTTAACAAAACTAAAAACTACCTTCAGAAACAAGTTGAAACTTATATCTTCCTCTGTTTTTACTCATTTACTTACTTTTATGTGGGTGTGGACAAAACGTGGGGTAGGCCCTCGTGTAGGCCATAGCTTACCCTGGCGCCTACCCTATGGCCTACCGGTGGTCAGATTTCTAAAAGCAAAAATAAAATCGGTAAGAGTCGAACGAATACGCTGGCATACAATTTTGTCTCTAAAAAGGGTATACTAAGAGGTCGCTAACACGATTTTCAACGTTAAAGGGAACGAAACAATGCAATTATTACAGCACTCACCCAAGCTCTCAACCATAACGGCAGGTTAAGGGGGGGAGGGGAGAGGAGGGGCCAATAGTGCGTGGTCGCAGGGGATATTCAAAAATGGCGGCTTCACGGCACAGGCTGTTAGTTGGTAACATAGAGTGGAGTGCTAGTGTAAAAATGTGTGGAGGCGCGGTGGCCTCATGGTTATTGACTCCGGAACGAGTGGTCCGGGTTCCTGCCCCGGCCGGGACATTGTGTTGTGTTCCTAGGCAAGACACTTTACTCTGACAGTGCCTCTCTCCACCCAGGTGTATAAATGGGTACCGGCAATTTAATGCTGGCGGTAACCCTGCGATGGACTAACATCTCATCCAGGGGGGAGTAGAAATACTCCTAGTCGCTTCATGCTACAGAAACCGGAGTTAAGCACCGGCCTAATGGGCCACTAGGCTCGTAAACAGACTTTACCTACAAGTGTAAAAATGTAATGAACTGCTTTGTAACGGAGAACATATCCAAGTAAGAAAAGGCAAACATTACTTGCCAGGCCAATTTTTTAAGCGCCTCTTAAGTGCTGTAGAGTATTGAATTTGCAACGAGCATCCCGGGACACGCACGCATCGCCGTCATAAACATTTCGCAAACTTTACTTGCTTTTTCCAAAGAAAGGGCCAGTATTGCACTAGTTTGAAAGGAGAGCTGATATGATGTTTGCCCAAAAGTTGCGTTTAACCGGCGTCAGTTCCTCGATTTCCTATCGGAAGGTAAAGAAATTTTGATCGGAATGTGGCCGCCAAAACAGCAGAAGAAAGTCGTTGGTAAGACTACTCAGGAAAACGTTCAAAGGTTTCCAGCAATGATGTCCTTTTAAAAATCTGACCACAGGGTAGGCCAGGGCCAACACCATGGCCTACCCCACGTTTTGTCCACACCCCTTTTATTACCTGTAGTCTTTTCAAGTATAATAAAAGTCAAGAACAGATATTAACAAGGTTTGATTTGTTTCGCCAAGAGAGCCTCATAAAAGCCGCCGATAATCTTTTCTTTCCCGTTGGATTTTGCTTGGGGCTACAGGATGTTCCAATACCGTTCACTGCTTCCCTAACGGTTCTAGAGCATATGCATAACCACTAGATAAAATAGAGTTTTTGCATGCAAATGACGGTCGGTCACGTTTTTACCGGCTCCGCTGTTTTGGCCTTATTTGTTATTTTTCTTATGGCTTTTAGTTCTTATAGCTTGCTATATACTATTCCATTGGATTTATCTGAAGTTTGGCTTTCTCGAAGAATAGATCTTCCTATTTTTGGCAGTGCAAATCGTTGTCACTTCAACTCATTGCTGATGTATCGGACTCGCCATCTTGGATTTAGGCGTGCACGACGTCGTGGCTTTTTCCTGTTGTCAATCAGTCATTATCCGAATTCCACTTTCACTTTAATCTCATCTGTTTGGTTATCAGTGGTGACATCAATGTCAATCCTGGTCCTGATGATTTTCAATTTATTCCTTCAAGAATCAGTGATCGCCGGTGTTGTCGTTTATCGAATGCCTATCGTTGTCGAAACATTTCAAACCTCACTGAGATTAGATGCGTTTCATCTAGGGCCACGCCAATTTAAGTCCAGTGGACCTTATGTACTTTAAATGCTCGTTCGCTCAAGAATAAATCTGCTCTCTTCTTTGACTATGTCTGTGAACATAAAGCGGACGTGTTTGCTATAACCGAGACTTGCCTTTCGCTTAATGACTCGGCAGTGTGCAAGGAGATTACGCCTGCTGGATATAATTTTGTTCACTGCCCGAGGATTTAGGCATGCACGACGTCGTGGCTATTTTATTTTCATTTTCGTTCCCTGAGAAATCGCGTGACATATTTGATGAATAAAGCTCGTCAGGAGTATTATAGGAATTTAATTGATTATATGGGCAATGACCAAAAAAAGTTGTTTAAGGCCAGCAGGTCTCTTCTCAATCTCGCTGAGGGTTCTACTTACCCTCTGTGCACAGGCTATCAAGTCCTGGCTACTGATTTCGGTGAATTATTTGTTCGGAAGATTGCTGGAGTAAAGTCTATCCTCTCAAGCACTTCTCATTGATCTTCATCCAGCACCCTGCCTGCTGAATTTGTTACTGATGCGTCATTTTCTGAATTTGAACTTTTATCGACAAGTGATGTACAGGCAATTATTTTGTCGTCTGCTAAGAAGTGCTGTCTTCTTGACCCGATTCCAACTACATTACTTATTGAATATCTTGATGTACTCCTACCTATGATTACGAGAATGATTAATCTATCGCTGAGAACGGGGTCATTTCACTGGTTCTTGGAAACTTGCGATAGCGCGACCACTTCTCAAGAAAGCTGGACTTAAGTTTGTTCCTAAGAACAACAGACCAGTGAGAAACCTAAAGTACATTTCAAAGATAGCTGAGACTGTTGTTGCTAAGCAGCTGCATAAGCATTTTTCTTGGAATAATCTACTTCCAGTGTATCGATCGGCGTACCGCCTTCACCACAGTGCTGAAACCGCTCTGTTGAAGGTAGTAAACAATATTCTACTTAATATGGATAAACAACGTGTGACTTTACCTCTTGTCCTTTATCTGAGTGCTGCTTTCGATATTGTGGATTATGGCACGCTGCCACGACGATTGGAAAACTCCTTTGGTATCCATGGCAATGTCCTTTCATGGTTTTAATCTTACCTCTGTGGTCGTTCTCAGCGCATTTTGGTACACAGTGCCTTTCAAGAAGATTCAACTTGGATTGTGGTGTTCCGCAGGGATCTTGTCTGGGTCCTCTTTTATTCCCAATCTTCATTAGTAGATTGTTTCAGATTGTTTAGTCGTATTTGCCTAACGTTCACTGTTTTGCAGACGATACTCAATTATATATTTCCTTTTGTCCCAATGACGCTATTGATGAGCTTTCCGCCTTAAGTAATTTGGAGTTCAGTGTTGATGATATTCGCTCGTGGATGTTAACCGACAGTCGTAAGCTAAATGATGATAAGTCTCAACTTTTTTGTTATAGGAACACTTCAGCAGTTGGCTAAAGGTAATACTCATTGCATACGAGTGGGTGATTGCAACGTCTCAGCAGTCTCCTCTGCTAGAAACATCGGCTCTTGGTTTGACACAAAATCGTCAATGGTTACCCACATGACGAAATTGTCTGGTTCTTGTTTTTATTATCTTTATAATATTTGGCGTTTACGGAAGTACCTCTCTAGACTCTTGTGCATGCATCTGTATTATCTAGGATTGGTCTTTATAACAGTATCTTGTATCCAGTTAGCTAAGTTGGTTAAAGCGCCGGATTGTGTTGTGCGGCAGGTCGAGGGTTCCAGCCCCGGCCGGACCAATACTCATTGTCTTAAAATAAGTGAGGAAAAATTGCTACCTTTCTATAATCAAGAAATGGATAGATATTCTAGTCTTCTCAGATAAGGACTAATAAACCGTAGGTCCCGTCTCTTGCAGGGTTAGGGGTAGGAGACGTTCATATCCAACGCACGAGATTACTGTGTCGTGGATGTCCTCCCCTGGGCTGGGATGGGTGGGAATTGGCCCTGAAAAGCCCCCATGGGGAGTGGTCAACTATTGTATGTATGTATGTATGTATGTATGTATGGTATTCCTGGATATCAGTTAAATGAGTTTCAAAGAATACAGACTGCTGCTGCTAAGCTGGTTTGTCAGCAGAGTAGATACTGCCATATTACACTCTTACTTTTTAATTTACACCAGTTAAATTTCGAATTTTTTTTAAGATTATTTTAATTTTATTTCAGACTCTTAAAGGTTTAGCACCAGCATATGTAGCCTCTTTAATTTCTATTAAGTCACCTTCACGGTATAATCTTAGGAGCTCTTGTAATAACCTCCTTCTTAGTTGCCCTAAGAAGTTGTCCAAGGTTTCTCTTAGTGATCGCTTCTTCACATATGCGGCGCCGAAACTTTGGAAAATGCTTCCTCTGGAGATTAGGTCTGAAAGCAGTGTTGCTGGCTTCAAGTCTAAACTTAAGACACGTTTATTTCGTGATGCGTTTTCATAGTCTGCTAAATGTTAATTTTTGTGTGTGTGTGTATTGTGATCAAATCAAATCAATCAATTTTATTATGTGCATACATAAAAGAAAGCGTCAGACGTTTTCTGAATTTTTACCTTCATATGTTATTTGATTTAGGTTTGGTTCTTAACTCGTATTTTAATGCGCATTTGAGCATAGTTACATAGAATTTGCGCACTACAAATGCTGTATTAAAATAGAGTTTGTACTTAGCGCACGATGTATTGACAGTACTGTAAAAATTTTACCGAACTGAAGCCCACTTGATAGCATCCCAAGTGCAAAAGATTTTCTAACATTTTAAAGGAGATAGTGTGTAATGGACAAAACGATAC